CTGCTCCGGGGCAGGAGAAACTCCGCTTTTAGAAAACATCTCCGAGGGCTGCTGCCTGGCGGCTGAAGCCCCCTGCACCCCAATGCTGGGCTGTGGCCTGTGCGACTTCAGGTTACTGGGGGCTAAAGTGCTAGAGTCAGTCCCTGAGGCCAGAGGGGCCTTGCCTGGCCCTGCGGGGCCCGGCTTCCCCTTCTCGGACGGCAGGGTCTTGGACTGGGCTGGGAAGGCGGGCTTGGGCCTGGGCTTGGGCTTGGGGAAACTGGACAAGGAAGGCACGTCTTCTCCCACTAGAGCTGGTGGGCAGCCAGTGCATCTGTTTCCAAGCCAAGCCTTGTTTCTGCAGTTTTTGTGACCATCGGGATTGTATTTATGCTCCAGTCTCTGATGCATCATTAAAACTTCTGGATAAAAGGTCTTGAAAGTACAAAATGGGCAGGTGAGACTTGGGATTAAACTCTTGCTCAAAGAAATTGCGGGGCAACTGTGAAGGGCCCCGAGGGTTAAATTTAAAGGCTCCTCTTGACAGTCCATGCTGGGCTTCACTCTGCTGTCTGCTGCCACCTCTGCCTTCTCTTTGAGGCCAACCTCGGCCTTGTGGGCGGCAGTGGCGTCTGGGTGAGGATGAGGCGGAGCAGCCACTTCTCTGCGAGCCAGGTTGATGGCCTGAGCTTCGGGCGCCGGTCTCTGCTTTAACACGTCCAAATAAGCAGGGGCAGGGTGTCTGCCTAGCTGATCAGCACTACCTTCAGTTGCATTTTTATTGAAATCCGGAGTATCTTTGTGTACTGGCGAGAGGACAGTGCTGCCCAGAACATTCTGAAGGCCAGGGGCCATCCTCCTAGGTTGCTTGGCAGGTGGGCTGCCTTTCACATCTTTGGCACCATCGGAAAATCTTTTCAAATTGCTGGTTTGCGCACTGTCGGCGATGAGTAGTACATCTTCCGCTTCCTGGTTTTTCCCTTTGCTCTTGACCTCAGCGGCCACATCGACCTGCTTATCTTTGTGGTGTCTCTCCAAGTGATACCGTAGAGAGGCCTTCTGGGCTGCAGCATAGTCACAAAACTCACATTTGTATGGTTTTTCACTTGTATGCGTTCTGAGATGAATATTGAGGTAGTAATTTGAACGGGAAAGCTTTCCACAGTAACTACATTCTCTTGAGGATGTCAGATGCTTTATTTTGCCTCCATCATCATTTTGATCCAGATGGAGGCCTTCGGGAAGTCCGTCCGCGGATCCATCTTCAGAGCCTCCTTCTCGATCTGTGGCTCTGTTTTCACCCAGGGTGCCCGCTAGGTCTGGAGAGCATGTCCTCAGCTGCCGGCCATCCACACACATGGGGGGCGACTCAGCATCTGTCCTCCGGTCCTTCTTGTGGACTCTTGAGTGCAGGACCAGCTGGTGGTAAGTTCTGAACCCCTTGCCACACTCAGAGCAATGCGTGGACTGCTCACTCTTACTGGAAAACTTGGGGTCCGCGTCCCCAGAAGGCACTTCACCGTTGGCATGTCTAGGCTTCTCGGCCAGCTGCCAGGCCTGGCAGGTGGTGAATGGGTCGAGCTGAGGTATCCATCTGGTGGGCTGCTTCACGGTTTCAGGCTGAGCTTTGGGCCTGAGGTTTAAGAACTGCAGGAACTCGTCTCTAGGGACTGGCATCCCCGTCTGCTGAGAGTCTGCCTGGGGACTGCTGTCACCGTCAGCCGTGTCTTTGGTGTGCATCTTCCTGTGATCAGTGAGACCTTCTATATTTGGAAATAGGAAGCCACAAACCATGCACATCTTGAAAGGAGAGGAGATGCTCTCCGCAGCCTGCTCCTGGACAACCTCGTTGATGGTGACCGGACTTTCCAAGCCCTGCTGCAGCTTGCTCTTGGCCCCCGACTTGCGGTTGTGTGTTCGCATGTGGCTCTTCAGAAACCAGGGCTCCTTGAACCTCCGTCCACACACGTGACACCCATAGGTGAAAGAGTCCTTGTGTTTCTTCATGTGGATCTCCACGTCAAACGCAACTCTGAACGTCTGCCCACACACTTCACAGCTCAGGTCTTCATTCCCTTTGCCACTCTTGTCCTTGGGGGGTTCTGTTCGCACTTGGCCTTTATCTAGAGGGCTGAGATACTCTGCTTCCACACGCAGAACTGCGGGCTCACAGAGGATGGGCCGGTGCTGCAGCAGCACGTGCTTATTGAGGTCTTCAGAGTGGGTGAAGGTCTGACTGCAGAACATGCAGTCCAAGGGCGTGTAGCCTTCGATTTGGATGATGCTCTTCTCTTGCGTGGCTCTGAAAGGAACAGTGGTGGTCCCTTTTACTGGCATGGCATCATCTAGCTCCATCTGGCTGCCAAGAGAATTGCCAATAACTTCCGGTCCATCCATATACACTAAGAGGGATTGAGTTGGTATGTTTCCTGTCACTTCAGGACTGTGTATAAAATAAGAATCTGGCTGAGGAATTTCTGGACTTGGAATAAGGCGACTTGTAATACTTGTCACTCACACCCCCAGCAGTCCTGGGCTTCAAAACTAGATCAAATATTTGTTATAAAAGTTCAAAAGAAAATGTATATTCCTCTAACTTGTTGTCTTCAGAAGTCTTAGGAAGCTCAATGACAGTATCACTGGTTCTTTCCGTGATGCTTTGATTCTAATATAAGTCAGCACAAAGCATTACCTCTCTTTGTCTCCACTGAGAGCGAATGAGTCGGTTGAGCAAGTCAATTCCAGCAATCTGGAGACAAGATTTCCAAAACTTTCGGAAGTGGAGGCAGTGTCTGGAACCTGGAGACTCTTGCTCTCTGAGCCTGCCAGTCCACCTGGCTCGGAACAATCCTGGAAGAGAAGTGATTGCTTCGCAAACCAAAAAGGCCAAGTTCTGTCTTGCTACATCTGTATTTATATCAGTTGATTTTAATCCTATCAATTCTATTCCAAAGGTTAGGGCGTTTCTTATCTCCATTCCAAGGTTACTCTATTGTTCTATTAAGCTACAAGGAAGTAACTGAAGGAGATTATCCTAAGTGAAGATTATGTAGCTTAATTGTGATTGTTCATGGTTAAAGTGATTAATTACCCGCCTGGCACTTAGCTAAGGTGTTTTATTCCCTCCCTAACTCCAGGGAAAAATCCCCACCTGGGGAAACAACCTTTCTCAGAGAGGTGACCTTGGTTAAAACTCATAGCTCTAAGAAGAGGAGCAAACATATTACGAACAGTATGCCATATACGCCAGGTCCCTTGAACATATGCTGTGCAGATGTTTCTTCCCTGCAGCGACTGTGTCAAGCAGCAAGGATGGACCGGCTTCTGGCACTGTATACTTTATGGTTAGTCATGCAGCTACCATGATTCTGTCTTAGCTGCAGCCGGACAATAAGCTCAGAAGGAAAGACCTCATCTTTTCTCCTTTGTGCTACTTCTGGCTGACGTTATTTTGGCTTTGCTTTCAAAGTATGCCTTTCTTGGATTATGGCTCTTCAGCGATTTGGGAAAGAACATGGGTATAATCTGAGGAGATTATTAAATTCTACTTTAGAGGTTGGTCCCATGTCTCAGGAGAAATTGGAATGCTTCTCAGAGTACATATAGGAAAAAGTTAAAACAGAAGCTTTTTAGGCACTGAATATGAGTCTAGTATTTGCATGGGTTTCTGTTCTTTTATTATATTTTCCTTATAAGAAACATCAATCAGCAATCATTCTTTAGAAAAATATATTTTTATTGATTTCAGAGAGGAAGAGAGAGATGGACACATCAATGATGAGAGAAAATCATTGATTAGCTGCCTCCTCATATGCCACACTAGGGATTGAGTCCACTACCCAGGCATGTGCCCTGACTGAGAATCGAACTATGACCTCCTGGTTCATAGGTTGATGCTCAACTACTGAGCAACCCCGGATGGGCAATCAGCAATAACTTGTTTATTACCTCTACCCTCTATGTCATTTCTTAAAGAAAAAAATACTTTCTTATTGATGGTTTGAGATCCAGACATGGGCATGCATATTTAATCCATTTCCTTTCTTCCTCTGTTATAGATGAGTGTAAAGAGTATACAGTTTTTGGTCATATAGTTAATTAAAAAGTAAAAGTCCCGCCAAAACCGGTTTGGCTCAGTGGATAGAGCGTCGGCCTGCGGACTGAAAGGTCCCAGGTTCGATTCCGGTCAAGGGCATGTACCTTGGTTGCGGGCACATCCCCAGTGGGGGGTGTGCAGGAGGCAGCTGATCGATGTCTCTCTCATCGATGTTTCTAACTCTCTATCTCTCTCCCTTCCTCTCTGTGAAAAATCAATAAAATATTTAAAAAAAAAAAAAAAAAGTAAAAGTCCCAGCCCTCTAGATATATCTGTCATTATCCATGGTTGCCTGTGGGATTTCGGTACCATGGATCTCATTGATGCCACATATTTATAAAACATCCTTTGATTCTGTGCTTTCCATAAGAAAACTTCTATTTGCATTTACTTTTATCTAAATCCTGAGTGTATCTCAATTGGTTCCAAATTTGGTGGGGAATAAGTTTGACATTTATTGGGCTGCTTCAAATCTAAGCTATAGAGTTTATATTTTAAAAAGGAGTTTTGGACTTGAATTTGGACCTAAATGAATTCCAGTTGACCTGGCTCTGATCGGGGAGTAAATCCTCATTAGAATGAATTTACATGAAGGGAAGAGGAGGAATAACATTAAGAATCCTTGTTTGAAATGGCTCAAATGAATTGGATTAAGGTGTGAAAAAATGAGTAAAAGAGAGTTTATTTTCATATTGACTACCATCGTCCATCAATTTCAATAAGTACAAGCTTTGACTTTTCCTCTGTACGCCATCTGCAATCTTCCTTGTTCTGAACCATGACAAAAAAACATGGCACCACCATCACTTAATTTATTGGATTTGTCCAGAAATTTTCTTTTTTTCTGATGTAACATCTGGTGTCCAAAGAACTTTGTATCCCACCCATTTGAGAAGGTTTTCACTGTACTAAGTGCCACAGGTTGAATCATCATTTGAGATACGTAAAAATAAAGTGTTCCCACCATGAAAGCTTTGGGCACTGTGTTGGTGGCAACAGGGAACGCTCCAGCAGCTTTTCATCTGGCTTCTTTTTAGACTTACAGTATCTGTGTCCCTCATACAGACAGCTAATGGGATGAGGTAGGTAAACCAACCACATCTGAAGAAATAATATTACAACAACTTCAATGGTACAATTTGCTCATTATTTCCACTCAGGAAAGAAGACACGGTATATTTTTCCAGTTATCTAGATGAGGAAGATATACCTGGAACTGTGAATCAGATATACTAGGTTTCAAATTTTGGCTTCATAACTTACTAGCAATGTGAATATTAGTGAGTTACTCTATCTTTATTTATAAAATGTTTGAACAGTTAAATTAAATATAGGCATTAAAGCTGTTAGCATAGTGTAGCAATTAATAATAAATTACGAAATAGTAGCTATTTTAAATCCCACATTTTCTCTCGCTTTCAAGTTGAACACCAATTCTCAATCATTTAAATATTTTAGAATTTCTGGGTTTTTGACTGTATTTATAAATATTCATGTAATTTAACTTTTAAACCCTGAGCCATATGTTTTCCTATGTAATGACAAAGATATGCCAACCCCATTCATCAAATGTGGTTAGGGAAGGCAGGAAGGGGAAATGGCACTGATAAATAATTCCAAGTAATTTCCGTGAACCACAGATGTTTAAGTCGAGCTGTATTAATAATTTCATAATTCATAATAGATTAATTTATTACAGTTTACTATCTCCAGCTGTTTTATAAATCAGAGTGTTAAAATTTTATTAAAGATCATTTTTTATTCTCTGAGAATATGTCCAAAATGTTGCTGTCATATTAACCTATATTGCAGGTCTGCAAAGGAATATTTTATGAAACCTGTCTCCTCAATATATTAAGAAATTTCATATATCAAAAAAATCAGGTGGCCTTTTAAGATGTTTGTACAGCATTGTGATATGTTGAAGATACATTTTATAATTTCACTTTATCAATGTTTGTCCAGATGTTGGCCAAAAAGAAAGAATATGCTCCTGACAAACTTTTACTTTCTATAGAGACTTCTGTTGGATATACATATTTGTCAACAATCTATCCTCCCTTCCCCATATATGGTCTTCTCTCACATTCTATAAATAACAATTTTATTATTATCTTTGCAAAAATATTAAGAGCAGATTATTCAGAATGAATTTATAATCAAGTAAGTTCATTATTCATGTTTGACCCTGACTGTAAACAAATCTAAAAACCAGAAATGCTGTTCAACAACTGATTTTCTATTTTGTTTTAAGTGATTTGATCAAATTGATCTTGTTAATTTTATTGGAAGTTTCCATTGGATCTCTTCTTAGATGATATGTTATAATCGTCTCTTATCTTTCTCATAAATTTAAAAAATTATTATTTAAACGGACAGTTTATTAATTCTATCTCTATACATTTCCTTTCTCTGGACTTACCTCTTAGTTATCCCTACTCTCCTCCTCTTCATCTGTTACTGACTGAACTTTGTCTTCCTGAAATTTATATGAAGCCTTTACCCCCAATATGACTGCATTTGAAGACAGAGCCTTTAGCTAGTTAAGTGAGGTCATGAGTTGGAACCCTAATACCAATGGATTTGTGTCCTTATGAGCAGAAAGATAACAGATCTCTATCTCTCGGAGTTCACACAGAGAAGAGGCCTTCTGAGGACACAGCCATAGGAAACCATCTACAAACCAGGAAGAGAGGTCTCAGCAGAAACCAACTCTTGGCACCTTGATCTTAGACGCCCAGCCTCCAAAACTTTGAGAAAATAAACTTCTGTGATTTAAGCTACTCAGTCTGTGGTTTCTTGTGATAGCAGCCTGAACAGACTAATACACTATCCCAAACAAGCAATCTCCAGCCCCCGTTTAAACCTCTGTGTAAGTGACACCCTGTCCAGAAGCCCTTTCTGTCCTACTCATTTCATTAGCACCACATTAATAAACTAGATGCCTCTGACCGGAATCGAACCTGGGACCCTTAAGTCCCAGGCCGACACTCAATCCAGTGAGCCAAACCTGCTAGGGCTAGATGCCTTTTTATATGCTCCTATCTCTCACATTGTTTTAGATTCTGTTGTCCCGAACTAAATTAGCAGCTTCTTAAACTTGGAGACTGTTTCCTGCCAATTCAATATTCTTAAGTCTTATTAAGAATGGTGAATGGTAGGATATCAGTAATACATGTTAAAGTACATTTTTCCAGACAAATCATAGTACAGGAAAGACTGGCTACCATAAACATGTTACATAATTTTTATGTGATTAATTTAATTTGAATTAAAATTCCAAAGTGTTATTTTATGTGATAAAGTTAGGGTTTTCTTCCCCTCAATGGAGTAAAATATCTGTCATTGAGAGTGTCAACAACCAATATATATATTATATATAATTATATATCAACTCGGATTTATACAGCCTATAAA